TAGCTTACATATGTCAAAGGAGTGTCTCCATCACCATCGGCAGTAATTGATGGACTGTCTGCATTCTGATCACATGTTAGATATACTTTGGTAATCCTAAATGACATAAACACCGAGGCATGAAATTATTGAAAAGCTCATATTTTCCTTCCAAAAGTACCAATAGCCTTGCCCATAAATAGTACTAGTATTATTTACCTGGCATCGTCTCCATTGTCATACTGCAAGTAATTGTTACCAGTATCAGAATCAATGTACATAGTTTCAGTTGATGCATCACCGAGCATATAATAATCATCAGTTTGAGTCGACTGGCAAGCCTATAATTAATGTACATGCATGTCAACATTCATGTCACAATCAATATCCTTACAGCAGTATTGCCATAGTTACAGCTACTATATCCCTCGTAATAGCTAGTGCAAGGGTTGTAAGAGTATGTGAATTGAGTGTCTCCATCACTCTGTGGTATGCCACTGAATCTGCAAGAGTGAAACCATTTAGTGCAGTTAAAACTAGTGCATGCTGGCTACCTTGCAGTTCCATCAGTGTTTGATAGAGAAGATAAGTCAATAGTCCCATCGGCAGTGTCACAGACGCAACTAGGCTTCCCTGATGGAGGTATGCATGGTTGCTGAGCTGAGGAGAGTCCAACCAAAACAATCTGAAAGAAGATAAAGCCTCTCATCATCCTATTTGAATTTGTTGCAACGCGAACGCGCCACACCCAAAATAAATAATGAATAATACATAGAGTACATTATCAATGATCGTACACCATCAATTTTCGGACACTTGTTTTAGGAAAACTATACATTGCCATCTCATGAAACTGCAAAGTATTATAGCAATAGTTATCTTTTATTTGCGTGACAAAACTTGTAGCTCTAGCAAGAGTGCATAGAAAGTTATAAGCTCTCAAAGCGTGGTGTCCGACAATACCAATGATCGGCCAAAATTCTCAATCTTCGGACTGTCATTTCTGAACGGCAGCAAAGGATAGTTTTAGAAGGTCACTATGATAACTTTGTAGGCCTGTCTTTAAACTAACTATCACCATCCGGATCTTTTTGATAGCTGTCTTTTTGACAGAGATAATG